AATTAATGAACTCTTTGCATATAGAATAATGAAAATCAGGCAGCTAGAAGAAAACAAGTATCTTCGGCGTAAATATAAGTATTTCTAGTATGCTTATCTTTCTATTTATCACGTTTTTTGCTAGAGTATGCACTACAAGACGATTGATTGGCATTTCCACAACCAATAATAATAAATCTGTTAGACGATACAATATGAATGAGTGCTATGATGATGAAGAAAAGTATGCATACGAATTTCATGATGATCTGTACTCATACTATTATACAATACGGCATCAAATAGTATTAATAGCTTTCAAATTATATGTTACAAATTGATCTGATTTCTGAGCTAAACATAAGGGAATGGTGGATGGGAAAAATTCTTCAGAGAATATAGGGGGAAGAAATATGGAATGGAATATACTAGAGACCAGATGGAGCAAAATGCACAGGAAGGATAGAAGTTGGGTAATAAATACATTTATAACATTTCTATTCTATGCATATCTATTTTTTTGCTATAGATTTGTAGTAATCTGCTAGTATCTTCCAAGCTGAGGGCGCCATAAAACCATCTGGAGGAGTTTCTCCTTTCCTGGAAGATATTTTTATTTACGTTAGTAATAGGCAAGCAGGGGCGAAACTTAAAGACAATGGGATATCTTCCTTTGACGATTCTATAGTACGATTAAAAACATCTCAGAATGGAGGTCATGGCTATTCAAGGGCCCTAAGTCCAGAACAAATATCTCACAAGGGAAGGATACTTGGTCGAAGTGGCGATTCAAAAAGGGACACATAGTGGTACATGCAGTTTAAAACGCTGATTTTAAACCTACCCTCCTTATCTGCGAAGTGCCTTTCTGGAAGAAGTTACAGAGGTTTTTCTCTATCAAAATCTCCTACAAAACCTGGATTAGAACGCTCAAAAGTTTAAACGACCCAAAACAGCAGCGAAGGCTGATTAGATACAAAATATGTCTTCATAATAAGATTAAATCATTTGCTTGTTGTTTCTGGTAGGATTCAATATTGTAGCACAGTTATTCTCGAGGCACACAGGCTAATTTCAACACAGAAAAGCTTCCATAAGTTCTTCCAGAGGAGCACTTCGCAGATGTGGAAAGCAGATTTGGAATCAGCGTCTGAAGCTGCATCTACCAGTATGCATCACTTTTCAAATCACTTCGAACAAGTATCCTCCCCTTGTCAGATACCTCAGAATAGAAAATGAGCTTTTGCCTAATGGTTTGTTGGCTAAGTGAGCCCCAGAATTTATTGTTTGTGCTCGGATAGTGCTTTCAAGCTGATTGCAAGGGATATAAAGAGAATCTACTTTTAGTTATACGACTAAACATTTACTTGGCCAGTCCTCGCATACGAGTTCCACTGATGAAATCGAAG